GTATCCTGTAATGTTTCTCATGTCCAGCCTGGAAAATAGATTTGCTGATCCACGTTCTGATACAATTTATGAGATTATAAATAATGCACAAGCTTTTGATTTGGCTGGAATTGTGCCAAACGCAAAAATGATAAAAGAAGATCCAAATTGGATAGAAGTAGCAAAAGCGCAAAACAAGAAAATCGTTTTATGGGGCGATGACATTAAGGATACTGAATCAATTAAATATTTCAAAGGGTTGGATCCAACAGGTATTATATATGATCGTATGGATTTGTGGTTGCCACATAATAAAACTAATGCTTTTGAAATGGAATCGGATTTGCCTGCATTCTTTCAATTACAGTGCGCCCCTATACAATTTAAAACAAATAGTTCACAGATTGATAGTGTATTGAGTAATGTTAATTTCCTCTAATTAATTGTTATAAAAAAAAAATTAAATAATAGAAACTTTGGTGTTAATTTTTTAATGTAGTGAACGGGTATAGTATTTTTTTTTTTAATAATAACAGATCAAGGTAGTTGATACATTTGCAAGAGAAAGACAAGACAAGATAAGTTTGTATTCAAACAATAATTGCAAAAGGATGCAGATATAGAAGTAGTTAATTCCAGGTGAAATTAGTTTTAAAAATAAATTGCTGTTATTTTAGATATAAGTTTAAAGAATATATGATTAAAAAGAACATTTTTCAAAAGGCGATGTGCTGTGATATCAAGGCAGTCGAAAATTACACAAACTAGATCGATATTTATTTACTCATAACTACACATTAGATGTTTTAATGAGATCAGGTGGAGTTCTTTAAAAATTTTGTAAGAAAGGAAACTTAGTCACTTATACCTTATTGACATTTTTAAAGCATCCGTACGAATCTTTAATTAATATTAAAATATTATTATATTTAAATACTAAAAATTGTTAATAGGATAATACCACATTATTTCAGCAAGCTAGAAGTACTTATATATAGATAAATGTGAACCTGTAAGAGTGAGTCTAACTAAGTACTAAAACAATTTAATCCGTGACTCTACTCCTATTCTGAAATGCAGGTGACTTGACTTACATGCTTAATTGGGACTGAATGGTGATAATCTTAATTTATGAACTCACTTTAAGTATCTGATTTGTATTATTTGATTGTATTATTTGTAGTTTCCACAATTCATTTTGAAGAGCTGGGTCCAGTAAAATAAGTATCGAATGCATATGTTATCAATCTAATTTTTTACTTTTCCTTTACTTTCTTATTTGTCTAGTCCGAAATAGAAAATGTGAATACTCACATAATTAAATATCTCACTGATTTATAAGAATTCGTATAAAATATTCCTGTTTTCACATTTGTGGTTTTATGATGATAAGTTTATGTCATGAATATTCTCTAAACTTCTCCACTAATTATTGTTTGTACTTCTGTATAAAATGTTACTCTTACCACAATTAGAAATAGTTTACCTATATCAAGGCGTCCTACTAAACGAATACAATAACTTGTAATACCTGTACTTTTTTCTTTATTATATATTTTAGTTTTACTTGATATGTTCTAAATCTACATTTTTTTAATATCTTTGCATATCGGCCATCGTTCAGATGTTGTACAGCTAGACTATTTTCATACATTATTTGTGGAATGTTTCACTTTCTATTTTTAAGAATTCAAAATTGATTTTATTTCTTTTGCAAAATTATTGTTTAAAATTATCTGGTGCGTTTGTCTAATACCACTTGAAGCTGCTAATGCAATACTACTTATCACAGTCATTCATTTTTCCTTATCATTCTTATAACACTTACCGTAAATAACAGTACGAGTATGAACTAAGGGAAGATTGGAAGAAAAATATGAAAAATTCAATTTGAGTAAATAATTTTTATCTTCAAATGCAATCTCAAACGCTGCAAACTTTTTGCGGATTGATAAATGCAATTTCCTTAGGTAAATAGTAGGAAGAGGGAAGAATTGCTGAAACTGCAGATTTAATAGCATTACTTAGAGTTGTCGAGTGAAAATAGAAAGAAGATAAATTGTATTGAAGAATTTAATTATTTATTAATTTAATTTCTTCTCAAAGTAGTTTTCGTTTGAAGTCTGCTCTACTGTTCTCTAGTGATGTTTGTCTGATTTATGAGAAAATTGCACTTTGATTTTCCTTCGTTTCAGAAAATTGCAATTATGCTGCGGGAAAAAGTGGTATTCAGTTCAACGAACTGAAAGTATATAATTAAAATCTTAACTTGGCCATCTACTTCAGTTTTCGCTTCATGAAATTCTGTGAAATGGTTTCAGTATCTATGCGATACATAAGAAAGTTTTTTAGAAAAGAGACGAAATTGTTGAAAATTGACAATAAATGGAACAAAAAATAGATAATTTGAGAAGTGTACACTTTATCAGTTTTATTTAGATGAATTTTTTTGAGAACATTTTTTTACAGTTACTCTTTAAGTGAATAATTAAACTTTGAAAAGAATTTGAAAAATAAAACTTATGGACTTTAAAATTGATTAATACCGTTAAGAACGACAGACGTCTATAATGACCAAAAGAGCAAGCACTTAAAGGCTACGTAAATAGGTTAATATGATTTTTGACTAATTTATGTAGCGGCAGACAAAAAATTATGTTATTATGAGACTACATGATCCTAGTATGTTTTTCAAAATAATTATCCTCTTTGAGGCATATTGTAGCATACTCAAGTAACCTTGGTTTATAACCACAAGTTTATGCACCTTCAGGTGATAATAATCAGATGTGGTCATTATTTTTTCATTGTATTCTTGATAGGAACAAAGAATATATTTGACTGTTTCTTCTTAGATCTTGATCAATGACTGTTGTAGACAAATAAATATTGAGATTTCATTTTTCGTATTGAGGGAAGCCTCTGTAACATTATTATGCATAATAATTTCTTCTTTTCTTGAAAGAAGAAGAGTGGTAGTTACTTTCTTGGTCACCTATTCTAGGATTCAGTTTCGCCATATATCGCGGTACAATGGCATTTAAATAGTATATACCTATAGTCGAATTGTTATCTTATCTTATTATCTTATCTTATTAAGATAAGATCTTATTTATCTTATTTAGAAATTTGCGGCGATTGGCAACTGACTTTGCATTTGAAGTTATTGAGTTTTTATGCTTATATAGCTGCTTAGTTGTCAAAGTAATTATCTATAGTTTTGGATGCGATCATTTTGCTTTAAAGGAGTTTGCATAGAAGAAACTTTGCTTACAATATTGCAGAAATCAGGAAGTCGAAACTGTAAGGTTATTCTTAATACTTTTCAATAAATTTATTTGCTAACAAACATAGGAACATATAAAATCCTATGATATTATTAAATTCATTAGTGAGATTGTTTAATACTAATTATTTAATTATAATTGTTAACTCTTGAAATAATCATCTAAAAATATTATGAATAATAAAAATAAGAATATAATCACAGGATATGTACATATCTTTCACGTTTGAAGGCGTTGAGAATTTTATCTCAAATACATTTAAAAAAAAAATTATAAATATATATGGAAAAAGGTGAATAAATTGATATATATAATATATTTGATATATTTAAATATAACGTTTAGATTCCCATCAATATTTTACATTAAAAGGTGAAAATTGACTAATAAGTACACATATTAGACATAAATATATGAATATTTTTTAAATTAAATTTATTTTACGACAAATATTCTTGTAAATCTTTATCATCCTTTTGAAAGAAAACTCATAATATTAATAGCACCTCATTTTAGCATAAACTCAATATGGAAAAAAATCTTTCTAAATTTGCATAGAATGGAGTTGAGGTTGAGGTGAGTTTAGGTTAAAAGAAAAAAAACCGGAACGCATAACAAAGTATGTAAAAAGGTTAGATCAACAGGATGGAAAATTCCTTAAGCCCATGAAGCCTATGTGTATTGAAAAGTACACAAAGAAAAGCTCCATAAAATTCAAAGGCTGTTAAGGATGGCAAATGTTTAGTGAATTTCTACACATTCATGTTTGAATTGCTGCTCTGTTAACTTTCTTGTGTGATTCAATACATTCTTAAGGGTTTCTTTAAGGTTAATAAAGCGATTAAAGAGTCATTTAAGGACAAAAAGGCATAACCGTTTGGGCTGTTAATAGAATCTTACAATTTTTAACCAAATTGAGATATTCATCTTCTTATATATTTTATGAGGTTAAATGTGTTAAGTGCAAACAAATTTCAGAGTTGAAAAGTGTAAAGTCAAGTAGAAAAAACAAAAATAAATCAATTTATATTTTTCCATTAGAATTATAATAGAGATATAAATTTCAGAGTAATTACTAACCGCATGGGATGGTACGCAGATCTTAGATCAATCATTGAATAATCACGAAGACTATCAGGAATACTCAAATTAGTTAGTGAGATGGGCGGAACTCTGCAAAATCCCCCCAGCTATCATAGAGTAAAAGTGCCCAGATGCACTAACTCGGAAAAGGCTTAACATAACATCAATTTTAGTCAAAAAAATTTAAGTTTAGAAAAAAATTCAAGTTTAAGAAAACTTGACCATAGTTGAGTTCTTGGACTTGTGAGAAAAAACGATGACCCATACAGAATTAGCTAGAACAATGAGCTGTATCAACTGATGAAAGAACAGTAAGTTCGTTTGGTCATATCATAACATACGAGTATATATCATTTCTACCAGCAACTCACCAAGAAACAGTAGGAGAAGAATAATAGAATTGAAAAGAAAAAAGAAACGACTATGAGTGGCTGTTATTCTGCAGACTTCGGCCCTTTAAAGATTGTTAACCCAAGAGTAATGATTAAGAATGTCACACAAACAGACTTGAATAGTGTAGATAAAGCTATGAACTTCTAGAAGTT